GCAGAGATAAACAAGTGAAGAGGGACTTCCTTGGGTATATGCTGTCTGCCACTCTAATGTTAAGTCACCCCTTTGAATCATGGCAATATCATCTTATTCAATCTATAACACTAAAGAATATTTTCTTTATCTCAAGAATGGATTAGGGGCAGAATATTTAACAGCTCTGTTCCATGAAGTCTAATTTCACAGTTCCTTTTCAGAGGCAAAAAACGGACAGGGTACCTGGTTGATATTTCTTTTAATTATGTTTGAACTGGTAAGTCCCTTTGGACACTTGTAAAGATCTAATATCCATAAATATTTTATCATCCCACTAAGCACTAGTCAAAGAAAAAGACTTTCAAGGCCATATAATTCAAACATGAAATTATTCTCAACCAAACAGAGATTTCCATACACACAATGGTTAATTGACTGTCTAACCACCTAATAAGAATTTGAAAGACACCCCCCCCCAAAGAATGAATGTTTTGCTCTAAAGTATGAAGACCAGATAGACAGAACCCATTTTAAACATTATATACTATGTGACTTTTTAAAAAACCACAATTGTACCATGGGTGGTCCACATTATCACCTAAACATGCTACATTAACAGTAATAATAATGGAATTTCTGGCTCATGAATGTTTGAATGACCAACAGTACAGACATGACACTAAAAAATATTTGGACTGGAAATGTAAGGATCTTTCCAACAGGTTGCACCCATGCTATTAACATTACTACTGGCCATGTTATTACTGGCTTCAACAATTATGACGAAATGTTTCTTCTATAAGAATCCTTGAAAAGACAATACACCGAAAACAAATTGTCTTAAATGTATTTTTCTTCACTAGGAGTTTATATAATTCTCTTTCAGCAACTGACCTTTTGGCACACATGAAATGTCATCTTTTCTCTATTAATTCTGAGCTCACAGAATAAAAACAGAACATATATCAAGTTACATTATGAATGTTTAGTAATCTACAGAAAATAATTTTAATACATATTTTATCTTCTTTCCTTTGGGACCACTTTCCCTGAAGTTCAGCCATTTCTTAAAAAGTTGAATTTTCTTGTCTTTTTTCTTGTTCTGTTCCAGGGACACTAGAATGAGCCTTGGGTCCGCTTCACACTTTACATAGCAAGCATGTTTTCAGTAAGCCATGGAACAAGCTGCTTGACAACCAAACAGGAATCACATATTTCTGGAAACACAATGGACATGTGACTGAGGACCAAAATTAACTGTAATTTATATGTTTGCCTCCATAGCGTAATTATTACAACACACAAGTATGCCTTCAAATACTAGTTTCTCCCTGTATAGAAACAATAAAAGTCCTTGGCCACATGGAGTGGATATATTTGGAGGTGTCTTGATGCCCCTGTACATCAGAATGGAAAAATTGTAAAACAGTCCCACGTATCTTTGACTGTTGTCAGTTTGACCACAGGTTTATTTAGGTCCAGGCCTTCTAGGCTCCGAAACCACAAGACACTTGTTTCTTGCAGCTGGGATTAGCATTAGCTGACAGATGACTGGAATCCTGGCTATCAGATGAGAAATTAAAAGGAATGGGTGGAAACTTGGCAAAAAGTGTATCAGCAGTCACTGATTCGCCATTGCCTTTCACAGAATGGAATTCTAGAGCCAGGAGTACCTTTACCTTCATGGCAAAGCTCTGACATAGCTCTGCCTTCTTTGTCTGACTAATTCTTAGAGAACCCTAAGCAATTTTACACCATATTGAAGATATCCTCACAACTCTGCCTGAGTCAATATCCAAGAAAGGCAGAGCATGAACCAGAAACCTAACAACAGGACTCCTTTTTAAAATTGATTCCAGAACATGGCTGAATCAACAGTACAAGCTTGCTGATGTTTGGTCCCTTGAGTGTAACCACCCAATGAAATGACCATGATTCTGTCAGCTAATGCTAATACCTGCTTTGTTTGTTAATGCTAAGGACATCCTAGCCCAAGAAACCATTGTTTTGGTGCTTTCAGAGCCCATGGATCCTCAGCCCAAATGCAGCACAGATCAATCTGCCACACTGGCAACAGTAAAAGATACGCTGAGCTAAATACTTACTTACTGTATTTATATTCCATTCTTCAGCCAGAAAGGCTCTCGGAGTGTCTTACAGATAGTTAACTAGACATTTCCCTGTCCTCAGGCTTATTATTTAAAAAGACATGAGACAAAAGGAGAAGGTAATGGCAGAGGAGAAGGGGAACAAGACCAGCAGTTCTTCTCTCCCTCCGAGGCCTGGACCATGGCAGATGGACTGGAAGGAGGGCTCGACTTCTTACTTTAGCCCAGGCCTGATGGATCTAGCTGGACTTTTTCTCCCTCTGAGGCTGGATGATAATGAATAAATAATGAACTAGCCTAGAAGGCTTCACCACTACCTTCTCTGAGCTTCAGCAGATATCAAGGAGATCTTACTGTATGGATCACCGGCTTGTTTCCAGCTTGATAAATGTTAGAAACCAGTATCCAACTCATTTTGGAGGTACGTTGAAATAATAATCAACATGGGTAGGTCCATTTCTATTGCTCTTTCCTATGGAATTTGCACTCCTGGGACACCACCTTCCTGGGACACTCCCGCATACTTGGATCCCCCCACTGTCAAGTCATTAAAACCGAGTCTCCTCCTGGGGGGGGGGTGCATCTGCTCACCAAAAAGGAACTTTCAAGCTTTTGGAACACCATAATGACTGGGGGGGGGAGAGAGTTCTTCAGTAGAAGTGCCATAGTACTGTTTAACATACAATTCCAAAGTTCAGAGAACAATCTCTTTTTGCTTTTCTCTTAATTTGTGACCCACCTTTTGCTAGCTTATGCAATTGCTCCTTTCCACCCCCAAATCACTCACAGGATTGGCATTTTAGAACCCTGGCATTTTAGAACTTTAGGCCTTTGTCCATTGAGCTGCAGATGTGCATACAGAGGTACAGTGCAAGTATGGGGGAAATATGGCCCATGAGCTGTGTGTGACCCTAGCGGCTGTTTTCGTGCCCCTCTATACTGCCCATGGATTTTCCGCTTCAAATGCTCTTCAACACCCCCAGCACAATTTTGAAACATTTTCACCTCTGGCCCACTTTAGGCCCAGAAGAGTCTGGGTTTTTTTTTTCAAAGGAAGTGAACAAAACGACTAAAAAAAAGCCACTCCTAGGTCTAAAAATGCAACATTGTCCATCCGCATTTTTCCTAGAGGCCAAAATATATGTATCACATTTTGGAGTGGTGGTTGTTCAGGGACTACATCTCCTAATATCCTTCAGAGTTTCCCGTCGCTGCTGTAAAGGAGAAATACCTAAGAAGCAAATAAATAAATGAAGTTTTAAAAATAAAGTTACGAAACCATACTAAGGAGAGAGAGAGAGGGAAAGATCTGAAACTGAAATTCTTGAGTCAAACTTGTACCTCCTGCTGCAGAAATATATGAAAAGTGCTTGCCCTCCCCTTTTGCTCCTCCATACAGCACACAAAA